TCCATTCCAACGGCGTACTTCATAAATCCCTTCCACCAGTCCGTCTGTCTGTATGTATATCCACCTCTCGTTGCTAGGCAAATGCTAGGTAAAAACGTTACCGCTGCATCGAACATACTAAAAAAACTCAGTGATTTTAGTCCGCAAGCGAACTATACCGACCGAGCGAACGCCGCTTGTCAGCGAAGTTAGTGCTAACTTTTCCGGATAGAGGGTGTCACGTGGTCAGCGCAACGAATCCCCACGGCCGTTAATCTCGGTTTTCTAGACCGGAGCTGCTATTTCCTTGAAATCGCTCCTCAATTATCCTCACGAGGCTGAGTGGACCCCGTTCCAGACCCACTACTTAGAAAATCTGGTAGCGCCGGGAATTGGATCCGGGACCTCTGGATCTGTAGCCAGCAACTCTGACCACTAGACCACAGAGGCAGTCCTGTCTTCAGCAGAGCAGTACTAAAGTCCATTGACATTCAAATTCGTTACAGCAACCCCTTCATTTTAGAAATTTCATGGTACTTCTTAATATCTACATTAGCCACGTAATCAGAAATGAAACACAAATGTATAGATAAAACAAAAATGGTTTATCGAAACGACGTTGTGTCCAGTTACCAATTATCTTATCTGTTGGAAGAAGGTTCGAGAGGATGTTGCGTGTTATTGACATGGTATTGTACTTATCTCTGTTTGCTTTAATAAATGGCGTTTTACATACATAACGCTTTAATATGGACAATACATTTGAAGATAAGCCCAACGATAAAAGATCGTATGCTACAGAAAATATTCGGTATTAGTGTACTGCGTCACGACTTCAATAGGATCATTCCCAAGCCAGTGTAGGACTGTGGCAACAGCACAAAGAGGCCCTACTCAATAATAAGAATTGTGCCACTTTACACACGCTTCCGTCTTTAATGTAACTTTCTTTACAATTTCCCCTTACTTTAAGATAATATTAAAATTACAATTAAACTGCTACATGTTTCGGCCATACTTGGCCATCCTGAGGTAACTGGTCATTTACTGGAATTCCTACAGTGCATTAGTTCTCAAGTCAAAATATTCCAATGTTATTGAGTTTTCGGCGTTCATATTAAGATATATTTGCTTGAGAACGTCACTATTTAGGGGCGCGCAGTAGCGTAGTTGGTTGAGGCACTATGCTACAATCCGGAAGGTCGCTGGTTCAATTCCCGATGGGGTCATTGGATATTTTTCAATTGACCTGATCCTTCTCGCCGCACTACGGCCCTGGGGTCGACTCAGCCTCTAACAGAAATGAGTACCAGGAATATTTTTGGAGGTAAAGGGCGGCCGGCACGTAAGGCTGACAACCTTACCGCCATCTATGGGCCGACTGTCTAGAAAATGTGGCAACCTCAACATCTCACAACCCTATGGGTCTCCACGGCCTGTTAGAGGGATACCTTTACTTTTACTTAATTATGACTACATTCAACACACAGCGACGTTTCGTAAATAAGCCTGTATGTAGCGGACATTACCTTTATTGCTGTATATTATTTAACAATGCGATGATAGTAAGCCGATCGCAGTGGGGCGCTGTGTAACGCAGGAACCTTCTTCGCCCGCTCAAAAGCTGGGATCGTGGGTTCAAATCCCATTCGAGGCAAGAATGGCTGTGTTCGTTTATTCTGTTTGTGTTGATCTGTGTATAGGTAGAGAGGCCTTGCGACGGCCTGATCCCCAATCCAAGGAGACCTACCGACTGTGTAAGAAAGATCAAGAAACTGAAAAAGCGGCCAAGGCCCAACAAAAGCCACAGATAGACAGGCGATAAGACGACTAATGAATATGGAGAATTTGGTGAAATGAAAATTGGGGGTGGGGGGGAAACCGAAGTAATCAGAGAAAACCTGCCCCAGTGCGTTTGTACACCACAAATCCCACACGACCTGACCTGTGGTCGAACCTGGGGTATGGTATGTCCCATGTTACATTTACAGTTGAGATAATGTATTCTTTCATTCATCTGTAATCTGTCAAGACGACAGGTCCACAGTCTCTTCCAAAACAATTCCTCCACTTAATGCGATCTAGAGCTTTCTCCTTCAAATGAGAATATCCTCTTCTGTCCCCAAGGTCATCCAGCATCTTCTTACGTCTTCTTCCTCGTCTTCTGGTCACTTCTATCCGCCCCTCTATCTTTCCTTCAATAGCTTCTTTTAGAAGGCAGTTACCGCGTAAGATATGACCAATCCAATTAGCCTTCCGTTTTCTTATTTCGTGTAGGATATTCCTCTGCTCACTGACTCTAATTAACACTTCTTCATTTCTCACATAATCGGTCCAACTGATCTTCTCCATTCTTCTCCAACACCACATTTCGAAACTTTCCAGATGTTTCTGATCTACTGCCCTAAGTGTCCATGTTTCAGCCCCATACAGAGCTATGCTCCAAATGTAGCATTTCACTAGTTTCTTCCTCAAATTTAAGTCCAATTTGCTGGTAAAAAGATTCTTCTTCTTGCTAAATGCAGCTTTTGCCATGGCAATCCTGGATTTAATTTCACAAGTACACCTTCCATCATCTGTTAACAAGCTACCCAAATATTTAAAACATTTCACATTCTCCAGATAATGTATATAACCTTATAAACAAAATGTCAACTTTCTGAACGTTGCCAGACTATGGCACTGCCCAGTCATTACAGCTGACAGATCATGAGCCTGGGGATATAAATGTCAGTCACTTCATGTGTCCGCAAACATGATCCATAAGCCAAGTCACGATAGCATGACTTGTAGTCATAACCTACCACAATTCGTGATCAGCTGCTATCAGCGCGGTACAGATCTCGCGGAACCTCATCAGGAAGTCATCTTGCTTGATATCAGGTGAACGAAATCCCACGTGAGTGATCCTGATTTCTGTCCCTTAAAACTGTTATATCGGTCAGCCCGTCTGCGCATATCAGTCCATATGAGGGGTTTCTGCCCACTTATACATCCCTCAACCAACACAGCCATCCAACAATCACTTCATTGACGAAAGCACCAACCCAGTTAACCATCATTCAATCCAACCACCCATCTGCCAACTTATCGATCCTTTTGTCCACATGTATTTCAGAATCCTACCATAAACGAAGCTCAGGTTTAAGTACCCTAGCTGCCGGCTAGGACATAGGAAGGTCGTGGTGACAGCACACTTATGGCGTTCTTTCTTCGAACAAGAGTAACAAATACGTAATCTGACTGGTGAATGTCGTTATATCAGACTAAAACTCTAATTAAAATGCTAAAGTGTCACAATAATTTAAGGTAGAGTTGTCCCTGTCTTTAACTAAGCACCACGCCATGAAGACGTATCGAGGAGTGAAGGTATAGCTCCACCATTCTTGATCTTGGCACTAAATGGAGACGAGTGGTCAGCTTCATACCCCTGCCGCTTTACCCCTGGATAAAGAAAAGAGAAAAATCTTCACCCTGCCGGGAATCGAACTCCAGCCATCCAGCTCATAGCTATACAGACTAAAATTTAATTAAAAAATACCGCCTTCAGCAATGTGGCAAGGTGTAGTTTGGTATATGTACCAACGTTTCGGTGGCATTTGTTGCCTCCATCTTCAGGGCACACTACACTGAAGACAGAGGAAGCAATTTCCTCCAAGCTATACTAGATTACATGACGTCACGTCCCAGAACATCATATTATTGATACCCACCTCAAATCTCACGCTATAATTATGTGGTGAAGTTTGTTGTTCGACATTAAAATATAAAGGTAATGCAACAGAAACTGCTGATACCTTGCCTAAGTGTACCTGTCATCATCGTATTATGAAGGTTAGCTTGGGGCGGTCGTTTTCAGTCCCTCAAGCATGCAAGATGCTAGCTTCACAACCTTTAGAACCAGCTCCAGTTGCTACCTTCCGTCAACTACGTGGCAAGGTGACAGAAAATGGGAAACGTTAATATCAGTCACGAAATACTGAAGTGCAACAATAAAAGTTTCCCCACCACATCATTTTCGGGGTACACAACGGTACTGGGCGTCGACGGCCTTCATAACTAACTCCGTGGCGTATAGTCCGCATTCAATCACTGCCAGTAGCTTGAATTGTTGAGAATTTCCCCTTCTTTAACGGAATCTGAAAACTGATTTTCACATTCACGCTTCTCGTCCGCATCTGCAGTTTGTTTCCTTCCTCCACCTTCAACGGACGCGCCATTTCGGGGTGACAGGGAATCCCCCACTTATTTCACAAAATATAATAACAACTTACTAAACGGAGAAGAGCCTTAACTGAGAAGCTAAGAGTCGTTTAACTTGTCAACAATTAGAAGC